ATAAGTTATTTCTAGGATTTTCATTAATAATTTACACAAATATATTTGACAAAGAGAAAGAAAATTATAAAGTTAAAATTTTTAGAATATTGAGTAATTTCGATGACTCCCAACAGAATTCGGTGTGATCTATAGTAATGAGACAGTAGATAGGCATATGCTCAAATTCGTCAGAAATAAATTTTTATAACTACAAGAAAGGCCATTAAGATTTGTGGAGAATCTTTCTAGATTTAATTCTATAATACAGATATAACAAAAAGCAATATTTACAGTGTAAACTCCAAGTTCTAATCAATCCGATTCATCGAATTGTTAACTCTAACAAACTGTTTAAGAGGACTGTTATAAATAGAGAATCCAACGAATCTTTTGTGATTAGAAGGAAATCCAAATGAATTTATAATTGTCTAAAAGGTCGTAGAAAAATGAACTAAAGTCAATAGAAAAAAGTGCATAATTCTTTAGTTGCTTGCGAGAGGCACGTACTTACAACGACACCGGCATCTACAATGTTTTTACCCACAAAAAAGAAATGAAAAAAAAATATGCAGCAACAATTTATATTGTATCCACAGATGATTCATCTGTACGAAAAATGCACATTTTCTTTTTTCTTTCAAGGGGTAAATGTTGCATCGTAACATTATTGAAGGTTCTCCAGGTAGCTTCATGCGTCAGGCATTAAATATTTATTTCAATATTCGAAATCAATGTTTACCCAATGTTGCAAGGCACACTTGAAAGTCAACGAAACAATATTTTTTTATTCAAAAAATTATTTCTAAGTTCGAAAAACCGTATAAACTAAGCACTAATTGCCATATTGACTGTTGCAGCTTTTTTGTCTTATTTTGGCATGAAGCATGCACCTTAATGTCTAATTCTGAACGTCCGCTATCAAATAATTTGTTAACTATTAAGTATGGGTGCTGATGCAGGTGTGACTATCCACTTGAAATTCACCCACACTCACACCTTGTCGAATTGATTTGTTAGTGTGAATTACGTAGTGTGTAGCCATAGAAGTATCAGAAGAAAAAAAAATCTACATAAGAGTATTGTTGTTGTGTATTTTGCTTTCATTTTTATCAGAACAGTAGTTGCAACTGAAATTGATTATTTCTATCAATCATCCCGTTAGAAAAAGGTATGTGATTATGTATAAAATGTAGCCTGTTCGTATTGTTCTAGTTAGATTTTTAATTTATGATGAGTGATGCAAGTCGACTTCGTATACATGAAATTTTACATCGCAAGGGTGATCAAATTACTGAAGCCGAGTATGTGTTTGACGAAATTCTTACCAATGGTAAAACACGTCAACATCGTGTTCATGTCAAGAGAGAAGATTTTGAACGACTAGCTGCTACGATAAAGAAACCGTGGTTACCATTTGAAAGTTTCACAAAAGTGACACGACCCTTACTGATGGGACATCAAGCAGCGGAAGATATTCCTGAGGCATTTCGTCTACTTGATATGGATAATTCAGAAACTATTGATATTGGTGAATTAGCTTCGTTTATGCCTGCCATTATACCCAATTCTAATTCATATATGCTTCTTCGTTATTTTCAACCGGCAGATACTAATAATGATTATAAACTCAATTTAGATGAATTTACTGCCTTCATAAAGAAAGAAGTTATCCGAGATCTTGCACTTGGACGTAATTAACATAAAGCTCTTCATAATAAAGAGCCTCTTTCGAAAAATGTAGTGCTTATTAATCAAAAATAAAATTTGAATCGAGATCACTGGAATTTCCGATGCTCAAATTCTTCCATCAAATACTGATGAAGTGCGAAATTTCATCATATAATATATTTGAAATTCAAGATGATCTACTACATACTCGACTTTCATTCATCTGCAGAAAATTTCGCTGCTCAAAGCACAAGATGATGTATGAAACCAAGATATGAGTGTACATACTAGAGGATATTGCAATTGATATTAGTTTTAACAAACGATCATCTTATGATTGAGAAATACTATAAAGGGCCATTTGTATATCGGAAAAGTATGGTTTTTCTATGAGCTATAGTATACGAGTAATGCTGATTGTTTGTGTTTGTTCAAGTTCTGTCGTTTGTAAATAAAGAAATGTATGTATCACGATCTTTCGTAGAATCTTTTAATTCGAGACGCGCCTTTCATAAAATAATCTTGAGATTGAACTCGCCCAATCTTTGCATAAACAAGTGACAGAATCCAAGCAATAATCAAATAGTGGCATAATATTTGTACTTTAAATAATAGAAAAGTCATACTTTTCTGATACATGATTGAGCACTCTCATTTATAAAAACCACAGAAAGGTCGTAATCCTCCATGAATGACACCGTATTAATTGTAACAGAGCATACAATGTGCAAATACCTTTTGAAAATTGGAAATAGATTTGATTTCTTCAGTGAATTAAAATAAGAGTGCAACCTCGTTTCTTATTAGATTCCAATCTGTGATCCTCCTTTTTCTACAGTTGAATAGGATCATAAATTGCTCAAGAGCTTTTTACTAGTCATTAGTCGTTATGAATTGTTGATAGGTTGCCTATTCAATTATAATGCGAATAAATAATTCGTAATCGATCCACTGATTTCCATGAAATATGTTAATGGTCAAACAATTTACAAATCCTTTCATTCGCTATAGATAGACCAAGAAGACTTGGGTGGAGTATGGATATACATTTTATCTTCATCTCCCCCACACCAACACCCCGCACCCACCCTCGACGGTGACCATCTTCCTCTGATTAACAATAAAAGAAAAATTTGCCTTTAAAATATTCTGTGCGAAAACAAAGCTAGCATGAGCATTAGAAGGATATGTTTGAATAAAAACAACTTTGCCAAAAAAAAGACCTCATCGAAGATGTTGACAGGAACAGGGGTGTCCAAGGACTGAGAATTATGAATTCCTCCTCAGTTCCCCTACAGTTCCTTGCATACTAAAGGTAAAAATATGGAATATTCACGATAATTTTTGTTCTTACACTCCTTTTCATCTGCAAAATTGTGAGAACCAATAGTTCCATGCACAAATTACTTTTAAAAAAGCAATATCGCGGCTTTCGTGAATGGTGGAACTGTGAGGGAACCAATGGTCAATTCCCATTTCGACTAGGAATTATCACAGCGGCACTGACAATTCCTCGGCAGATTAGGAATTCCTATTTATCAGTCCTTGGACACTGCTGGGTGTGTGTGGGTGTGGGTGTGGAAGTGGGTGGGTGTGGGTGTGGAAGTGGGTGGGTGTGGGTGTGGGGTGTGGGTGTAGGTGGTGTGGGTCTTCTGTGATATTTAGCCCACAGCCACAGCCACATCCGCCCACTGCCACAGCCACATCCGCCCACAGCCACAGCCACATCCACCCACACCCACACTCACCCACACACACACCCACCCACACCCCTTCATTACCAATCAGGTTTCACAAAACATTCAAAATTAATTCGAGTGATTATCTAGTCGTATTGCACGAGGGTATTCATGTACCCTGTTTTAACTCGCAAGATGTTTTGTTTGACTTGAAAAGGATTATTTTTTTAAATTTTATTAATGCACTACAATTTGATCTGGTTTGATTGAACAGCACTTTTCTATTATGTTCTAAAGAAAAATTATGTTATCCTTGTATGATCTAATATGCATGGTTGTGGTATGTACTGCATATACTGTTCATTCAAAAAACAAAAGACATTTTTATTGACGTACATTATTTTACTTTAGATATTAATTGATCGTTTCAGCATCTGTTTCTTTTTTCTATTTAACACATGATTTATTTAATATAAACGAATCATAAAAATTTGTGCTATAACGTTGTTTCTTTTTTCTGGTAAAAGATAATATGATTTTCTCTTCTTTATTATAAATATATGTGCTTATGTCGGAAAAATAGAACTTAAACTTATCAATAACTGTTTAAATTATAATAAAATTTACCAATGAAAGGTTTTGATATATGTTAATGTTTATTCTCACCTCGATTCAATTTTTTTTTCTATATTTATTTAAAAGTTTTAGAAGTTAAAGCCATTTGAATTTAAGATTTCTTAATAAGAAAAATTCAAAAAAAGAATATGCTGATGTAGTTTATTCAAACAAGTAATAGGCATCTATGATGTCTCAGGGACAGCTAGATATACTTGTTTACTAATTAGTATATATTTGTATATTAGTCATCCATATAAAGACAATTAAGAATTAGGATGTGAATATTTCGATAGATGCTCTCGGTTTTTCATCAGTCGGCATTGATCTCCGTATCTACATGGAGTCAAATGAGTTTTTGTTGCATTGCCAGAATGCATTTTGGTTAACGTGCTGTTTTCTAAAAAGATTTGAAACAGATTTCTTTTGTATAAATAACTAAAAATAATTTTAAAAAATTACTTTTAATTGAAGGTAAGGATTCACCATGAAAATATTTTTTTCGATGATCTAAAGACGTATTATAGCAACTATCTTGATAACGACATGGGAAAAGATAATCAGGTAAATTTGTATGACGATACTGTGCACGATGTACAGGATCTGGTAGTTTGGAACAATTTTCATCTTCTAAACATTTAGAAATATTATGACGTTCGTGAACAAGATGAGGTTCATTATCCTTATTTCTACATAGTTCACTAAAACGACAAGGATGGGAATATTTGTTGATATGATCTTTCGAATTTTGATTCAGACAATACACAGAATCACGACAAGGAGGCAATTTTGATGAAACTTTTGGTTGTGGTTGTAATGTCGTTGAGTTAGACATTGATGCATTAACGTCTACAAAAGAACAAAATAAGGCGTTCTTTATTCTTTTGAAAATCGATATATTTTCTGTTTTTGTTGGTAGTTTAACTGAAGACGCTGCTTGTTTTATATTTGATTTAGGAGTAATATCATTGATATGTGTAGCAACAGTAGAAGAAGCAACACCAGGATAATAATGTCCTGTTTGATGTTTTTTTAACAAATTAGAAGTATCTATTTTAAAATCTTTATCAAATGTTGGATGCAACGCAGACATTGGTTCATGATTAATCATTAAATTACGTATGGGAACATCTTGATTTCCAGCACTTACATAAATAAAGTCTATACTTGATAAATCTAATTCAGATTTACTGAATCGATATTGAATCTTTTCATGATTGTAAATACCATTTGGACCAGCATGTGATAATGTTACTTCTCCTGTTTTGTGACTAATTTTCAAACAAAATGTAAAAAAGTCATCTGTATTACAACCACGATAGAAGACACTTGATTTAGCTTTAAATTGATTCGTATGAACATTAGTTTCATGTTGATATGGACTACCATAATTTAAATAAGAATATGCTTCATGATAATCTTCTGTAGATGTCGATGATTTTTCAGCAACATAACAAATGAGACATCGAAGATTAGATTGATTTTTTTCTGGACTAATCTCCTCATTAGATATTGTTAACATCATATCACCATTCATAGCTTGCCAATAAATATAAGTCAATTCAGGATTATTTGATGTTTGAGTTTTCTGAAGACAATATAATGTATATGATTGAGAAATGGTTATTGGTAAAACAATCAGTTCTTCAAACTTTGAGGCTGGAATTGTAATAACAATGCCATGTGCAATTTGTGGTTCATTGAATTTTTGTTCAATTTTTTTAAATATTTTATCAAGTACAAACTTTTGATAAGGTTGACGAGTTGCATCTAATGGAATTATACCACCTGGTTTAATTAAACTAAGATCAATATCATGATTAGTAATGAAAAGAGCATCTTTAAAAGCTGCTTTAGCTGATTGTTGAGCTTCCAGAGTCAGTGATTGAAATAGATTTTTAGGTATAAATACATATTCGATATAATCTAATGGAATAAGTTGTGGTAAATGTCCTTCGAATACTTCATGCGAGTCTACAGTCATCCATCGATCAACAATATCCTTAAGAGTAACATCCATTGATTGTTTATTTTTACCAGTTAAAGCCATTAATTCTGTAGCTGCTGCATAGGCATAACGAGGAATAGAACAATGTAATTTCGAATTATGAAAGTTGGCAACACGTTTGTCTCCACTACCTGGATCTTTCAACCATGGACGATGTTTATAAGCATTTCCGCTAGGACCAAAGCTAGTACCAGCTTGAATGGAAAAATTGGCATCGGGATGAAACATTATTTCTTTTTTGAAGACAATAATAATATCACCATAATAATGTCCTAAATGAGGTCCTAAAATGCTAAAAACATGTTTATCTGTTCCTAAAGTTTGATCAACTACATATCCAATTCCCATTGGATTTTGATGTAATTTTATTGATTCTTGAGCAATTTTTTTTGACCACTGATGAATGATGTTTATATCATGATCAGTTAAAGGTGGTATCAATTTTTTTTCAATTACCTTCATAGTATAATCATGGTCATCACTTAATGGGGTTGTTCCACTAGATGCTTTACTTTTTGCAAATTCAGCTTCGACTAATGCTGTTATAAGTCTGAATGCATTGTCTTTCACTGCAGGGATATTATGTTTAAGAAAAATTAAACGTATTCGACCATGTTGTCGTACTGCTTTGGCAACATAAGCTGGTTGCTTCAATAAATTCATATAATGTCGACTCATAACATGACCATGAACAAGAATGGATTCGAAAATATGTGGTGCACATCGATGTACAGGTTGTAATGCTTGTATCCAATTGAGTATCTCAGGAGAAATTTTTGATTTTTTCCAATTGGATACATCAACATAATTATTCACAGTTCTTATTAATTGACTTTGATTACGCACAAAGTTAATGGATGAATTAAGATTAGTAGATTGAACAGCACTAAGATGATTATGATTTTTTCCATGTCGATATTTTTTCAAATGTTCATTTTTCAATCTGTCTGAACATTTAAAACCTGGTTCTCGACAGAATAGACGAATATCACGTATACCAGGATGAGAAAATGATTCTAAATGTTCTTCATCAGTAAGTTGTGAACATTTATCAACATTAGAACACATTTTACGAGCGATATGAATTGATATTTCAAAATGCTTTTCATCTTTTGTTTTACATTGACGACCAAATGGACAAACATGTGAATATTTATAACAATGGTTTTCTACTTCTGATGATATTTTATTTGTATTTCCTGTTTGCATAAATTCAACATACATTGAACAATTATATGGTGTAAATGGGCATGGTAATCGAAATGAATGTATTGTATTTTCAAAATGTTGTTTATCATGAAATTGAACACAACAATTATCATATGGACAAATAGATTTACAATGACGAAATTCTTTACAATGATCATTATCTCTCTTAAGATATTTCGAACAATTAAATCCATTCGAACATAATGGTAAATGTCGATAAGCAAGTAAATGTTCTTGATGAACATTTTGACAATCGCCTCCATCAATACAATAATCTGGATGATCATATTCACTCAAATGTTTTGGATCTTTATCATTACATTGACCACCATATTGACATTTGATATTATGTAGAAATGTAAACATATGTACTTCATCATCCATCTGTTCACATGACGATGTTGCATCTTGATATGAACATATTGGTGGATGTAAATAATTATTATTATGTTGAGAATTTTTAAGCTCATGACATTTTGATCCATGCTGACATAGTTGAAGATATAAAATACATGCATCACTTAGATTTAATTTTCCATCTGATGTTTTATTTAGAATACGATTTGGTCCACTTACTCCATTAACACGTATTGTTGTTGGTGGTTGAGCATGCAAACCATGAAGTATTTTTGTAAATGGAAGAAAATTTCCGTCTGGATTAATTTGATTTCCTGTATTATGATCATCAACAATAGCAAAATAAATTGTTTTAAAAAATCCAGCATATTGATAAATAACAGATTTGAAAAGTAAAGCAATATGTTCAGGTGGATTTTTGAAAGCACCACAACCAAATGCTGATAATACTAAACAATCATGTTTATGATGATATGCAATAGCAAATATATTTTCTATTTTTTTATGTGTATTTATTACAAATTTCTTTTCTAACATATTTTCCTTAGTTAATTCTGGATCACGATATGCAGCCATAGCAATAGCACATACATTATATAAAGGATTTTTCATAAAAGCATATCCATTAGCTTCTTCTTGACGAAAAACAGTTATACCAGATGTATAAATAGCTCCAAATTCTTTCATTGGATAGTATTCATCAGATGTTGTTATTTGTTTAAATTCACAATTTGATGTGCAATAAAGTCGTTCTGATCGATCCTCATCGGCAACATCAACATCAAGACTTTGATAATAATCTGATCGACGAAATAGATTTTCTTCTTGTGCTCCATCACCTTTCCGATATCCACCTCCAGGATTAGTTGCATTTGCCATATTTAATAACAATGGCCGATATCCTTCGGAGACTAATTTCTCATAAAGAACAAGACAATCTTCATTAATTACAATAACATTTGTTAACGGATATGGTGTTTTCATATCTGTTTGTGCAATTGTTTTTCCATATGATAATTTTGATTTATGATTATATCCAATTGTTTTCATAGGTTCAGATTTTAAAATTATTTCTTCACCATCAACTGCATATTTTTTCTTTCGAACAACACCTATGGTATTTAACATAACTGTTACTCGTAATAAATGCCGATTCAAATCATATTTTTTTGATCGTCTATCTGTTACATCTATTTTCTTCATCTGTTCAATCCAAAGTTGTGCATTCCATTTATAACGAAATATGGGATGTTGAGGATTTCTTATTAATGTCATTATATCTGGTTTTATATTGAACATTTCTGTTTCATACCAATTTTCAGCAGTTATTTCAGTTTTGTCTGGATCAGCAGCTAGAGTATGTCGTACAATTTGCATCATAATATTGCCGAAACGAAGAGCTCCAACTGATAAACAATTATCATAACAATTCATATCATCAAGTTCCAGAATGATATGATCATTAATGTGATGAGATGCAACAATTCGTCCAAATAATTTATGTTTAAGAATTTGATCGATGTTAAAACCATGAGGTACAGGAAAGACGAGAACACGATACGTAAGTTTTGTCTTTTTTGATATGTTTTTTCCATCAATAATTAAAACACTTTCTTTGATCCATTTTTTGTTTAACTGTGTTGCCAAGACGACTGCATTACCTGTTTGTTTATTATACTGCACATAAAAAGATGTAGGTTGAAGTTTATTTTCATCAATTTGAGTGGCAATGGCTAATAAAATCTTGTCATCATTAGTATTTGGTGGCAAATCTTCGAAATAAATACAATCAGCACGCAAATAAATAGTAGCAAAGGTACTTTCAATTTTAAAATCTGTATTTTTAACTCCTTTAACAAGTTCATCGAATGTGTCAAGAGAGAAAGAGAAAATATTTGGAAACTGAACAGAAATCTGTTGACATGAACGAAGATCTGATGTTTTATATACTTGCATATAACGACGAGCCACTTCCTCAGCGGCATGAATTTTTGATATATTTTGATCGAGTACTATATAAGAAGTGAGATCGAGTTCATCAACGAACGATATGTTTGTATTATGTTCCACGTCGAGAACTATTGATCGAACAGTAGAAACAAGATGTTTCTTATCGTTTTCATTCATTAATCGAATCACAGCAACACCCAGGTTTGAATAGCATTTTATATCACTTATTTTGATACGTAGAATGTTATCGATACGAGTTTGAATCATTTCCTCAAGTTCATTGTCTAATATATTTGTTGGGATATCAGGTATATATACAAATAAATCATTACTTGAGGAAGTTGCTTGAGAAGAGTGTTGATTATTTGAAGATTTTACATGCGGAGCTTGATCAGATGTAGAATTGGATAAACCTGATGCTGATATCGAAGATTTAGATTGAGAATTATTATCATCCATGTTTATTCGAATTATCACGAAGTTCAGATATTTATAAGATTAACTAGTAAAAAACAAACAAACAAAGCTGTTTAAAACCTACTGATTAAACATGAGTTTTTTCCTTTACTCAGGTTTATTTCGAATAAGGACATGAGAAGTGTTTACTTTGAATAGCGTAAGAGATCGCAAAACATGTAATAGTCTTCAACATTTGTGATTTAAATGAAATGATTTATAAAAAAATATATCGATTGTTTCGTCTGTAACTTTATGAGCTGGAACATACTTTATGAATATTATCGTTGGATAGAGGTAACAAAATAATAAAATAGTTGACAAAGAAACTTGAAAGAAAACGAAATCATGTATTTTGCAAGTGTATTACTGCCTAATTTGTAAGGTGCCGCTAATGCAAAAATCGAACAGAAAATTAATTTAGTTAAGTTGTATATCAATTGATAGAGCTTTTGATGCTGATTAAGAATATGCAGTTTTTAATTTTCTAGGCCTCGTCTGAGCCAAGAAATTTACGAAATACAAAAAAATTTAGAAAAAGCAAAAAAACAGGTTTTTNGTGGATACAGCGGACAAGACCTGTTCCACCTTGCGCAAGACCGAAGGAAATGGAAAGAAATTATCCGAATAGCGGTTGGCCCCAACGGGCGATAAGCCTATGGGACATCATGAATCATGAAATGTTTCACCATGAAAATATTTTTTTCGATGATTTAACGATTTGTCATAGCATTTATCTTGATAACGACATGGAATAAGGTAATCAGGTACATTTGTATGACGAAACTCTGCACGTTGTACAGGATCTATTATTTTGGAACAGTTTTCATCATCTGAACATTTAGGAACATTATGATGCTCATGAATAAGATAAGGCTCAATATCTTTATTTCGACATAGTTCATTGAAACAACAAAGATGAAAATATTTCTCCATATGATCTTTCGAATTTTGATTCAAACAATATACAGAATCACGACAGAAAGGTAATTTTGATGAAATTTTTAGTGGTGGCTGTAATGTTGTTAAGTTGGATATCGTCAGATTAGAACTCGATGAATAAGATATCGATGCTCTAACATTTGTAGAAGAGAAAAATATTGTGTCCTTTATTTTTTTGAAAAATGACGAATTTTCTGTTTTCTTTGGCAGTACAACTATAGGTTCTGCTCGTTTCATATTGAGTTTAAGAGTAACATCATGTAGAGGTGCAACAGGATAAACAGGAGCATTGCCAGTATAATAATGCATTGTTTGAAGATTGTTTAATAAGTTAGAGGTATCTATTTTAAAATCTTTGTCAATTGATGGATGCAACTCAATCACTGGTTCATGATAAATCATTAAATTACGAATGGGAACATCTTGATTTCCAGCACTAACATTAAATAAATTATATTTTTGATAAATCTAATTCAGATTTATTAAATTGACATTGAATTTTTTCGTGGTTGTAAATACTGTTTGAACCAGCATGTGATAATGTTACTTCACCTGTTTTATGAATAATTTTCAAGCAAAATGTAAAAAATTATCAGTATTACAACCACGATAAAATACATTCGATTTAGCTTTAAATTTACTCATATGAATATTAGTTTCATGTTGATATGGGCGACCATCATTTATATATGAATATGCTTCATGATAGTCTTCTGTAGTTGTCGATGGTTTTTCGGCAACATAACCAATAAGACATCGAAGATTAGACTGATCTTCTTTTGGATTAATCTTTTCAGTGGTTATTGTTAACATCATGTCACCATTCATTGCTTACCAATAAACATAAGTCAATTTGAGATGATTTGACATTGGAACTTTATCAAGACAATACAATTTATAAGGTTGAGAAACGGTTATTGGTAAAACAATTTGCTCTTCAAATTTTGAGGCTGATATTGTGATGACAACACCATGTGTGACTTGTGGTTTATTGATTCTTTTTTCGATCTTTTGAAAGATCTGGTCAAGTACAAACTTTTGATAAGATTGACGAGTTACATCAAATGGAATGATGCTGCCTGGTTTAATTAAACTAAGATCAATTTCGTGATTGGTAACGAAAAGAGAATCTTTAAAAGCTGCTTTAGCCGATTTTTGAGCTTCTGAGGACAGTGATTGAAATATATTTGTGGGTATAAACACAAATTCAATATAATATAATGGAATAAGTTGTGGTAAATGTCCTTCGAATACTTCATGTGAACCTACAGTCATTCATCACTGAATAACATCGTTCAGACTAACATCCATTGATTTTTATCTTTATCGGTTAAAGCAATTAATTATGTTGCTGCTGCATATTCATAACGAAAAACAGAACAATGTAATTTCGAATCATGAAAGTTTGCAACCCGTCTGTCGATACTAACTGGATCGCTTAACCAAGGACAATGTTTGTAAGCACTTTCACTAGGACTAAAACTAGTTCCAACTTGAATGGAAAAGTTAGCATCGGGATGAAACATACTTTCTTTTTTAACCCTTTCGCTCCCGGCAACACATATATGTGTTCAAATGTATTTATCGGATAAGAGCCGTAGTAGTATATGTTTTAACCGTTTAGAAAAGCTTCTTATCGTTTGTTAGATGGTACCATAATGGTACATTTCNTTTTAATACTTATATCTAAACCCATACCCACACCCAAGTTGTAAATAGGTCTTTGTCATTTTTTAATACGTTGTTAATAGTATACAGACTTTTCTTATTGTGAATGTTGCATTATTTCAGAAATAAATATTTTGAAATGAAGAAACTAAAAAATGGTGATCAAAAGTATCTAAATTTTTTGGTGATCAAATGTATCTTTTTTTGGTGATGAGAAATATTGTCACCCAAAATAAAAGATACTATTCGTTTTCGTCTATCAAATATATTTAATAGATTTATTGGTTAATATTTATATTCATACACACGAATAAGTCTACTCAAATACAACGTTGCTTTAACCAATACTCTTCAATGAAAAATACAGTTCGTTGTAACAAAAATTTTCAATAGGAATAAAAATGAGTTGAATTAAAAAAAAAAAAAAAAAAAAAAAAAAATAATAATTAATTCGACAATCTTTTATTTATTAATTTAGTTATTCGAGTAAGAAAATAAATACATATATATCGAAATGTTTGTTAATTGAACAACATGTAATATATTTACTATTGATTTTCATATAAATATTTTTCTGATTGATAAATAAATTTTGTTTCGAAACAAAAATAATAAAAAATTGAAAACAAAGAAGAGAACAAAGAAAAACAGATGTTGAATATAATATAATAAGATTTATTCAAAAAAAGAAAAAAAACAAAAGTTCCTAGAAATCGATAAATAGTTCCTTATTGAAGGCAAAAAAATGATACTTTAATTAAAATTAATTTTTTATAGAATTTTTTTTTTTGATTTCTGTAAATGAAATAATTTTTGAAGAATTAAATTAAGCCAATAAAAATTGAGTATTCTTGTTAATATGCATAAAGCAGCTTGTGATAAACCGATAATAATACTTTTTAAATCACCAACATTAGATGCCATTTGAATAAATTGTGGTGCAGCTCGAAAAGCATATCCACATATTATTGATCCATATATAATACGACTAAAAACAAAACTAATCACAAATAAATAAGTAAAGACTTTATGTAAACGTGGTCGATTTTGATATATTGCTTTTAAATTTAGTGGAATTGTTGAAAGTTCTTCACCAAGTAAATAGAAATGACATGAATGACAAATTCCATTCATTATACCTATACAATTATAAATTAATAAAATACGAAATTTAAAACGCAAAAATAACAATTAACCTGAAAATAATCCTACAAGGATTATTATATGATGAATTAATGCTGATTTTGTTCTTACTGATTTGTAAAATAACATCAGTAATAAATCATATGTAAAATAACCAAATGAATAACATATACTATAAGTCATAACTTCATCACCAGTTCCATAGATTCCTCCACCAGCTATTCGATTAATTTGTTTTAAATTAACTGAATAACATGAGAAAAAATTCACAACACTTAAAATACATACAATTGCATGGAATGTTGAAACAACATAACTTTTAATTAATGGTGCCAATGATGATGGAAGAAAATAAAAAATAAAACTATGAGCAATTGTTGAAAGAAAAATTATTGTAAATATTGGTACATCTGGTGATGGACTATTACCGAGATCTTTTTGTTTTTAAATAAATAAATAAATATATATATATATAGAATCAATTCAATAAAAAAACAAGTAAAAATTACATTGAATTCGATCAAGATCGACAAACAACATCAATGATGATGATGAAAACATTAAAATAAAATGATTCAATATGCGTATGTTATCATGCTCTATTGGTCTTGGTGAAAGAACAGGAGAAAAATGTTATATTTTTTATGAATAATTTGACTCGTGTATATCATACATACATGCAGAATAACACGCCGAATGTGAAAGGATGTATGAGGAAAGAAAGAAAAAAACAATCGGTCAAATTTTTTTTTTCGTTTTCTTTTTTTGTTTTCTTCACAATATATTAATACAAGATATAATAAATTGGCGTAAGTGTCTAAATAATCGATGATTCATTTGGTTCTTTTTTTAACAAAGATAATGAAATTTCTCCTATGGATATGAAATAGATTCTCTTACTGTTGATTTAAATACTCTCATTTTATTTAACACATGTTAAGAACTGAAAATTGACCTTTTCTGTTTACAAATAATTGATCTTAAACAATAGAAAGGGAAAACATTTAACTTTCTCTGTTGTGTTTTTCTCAAATCGAATTTTCAAACAAGAAAACCATTATTTTATTCTACATGATATTATTGTTGAGGTACCAACTTTTATAGATATATTTCGATCGAAATAAAATGTGTCTGTATTACTTTTTGTTCTTGATTTAAAATACTCTCGACATGAAATATAAAAGATTTTTATTTTAAAAATTGCTTTTGTTCATGATTTTTTTTTCTGTATTTCAGTTTTTCTGAACCACAGAAATAAAGTTTTCGAAAGAAAAAAAGTGCACGTGTCCGAATTCGATTCTACTTACAATGGACGCTCGTCAACTGATAGTTAAAGAGATTGACCATATTTGGGTCAAATGAAAGCTTTCACCGTCAAACTAACACATTTTAAATATTACGTGTCTATAGTGTGCGCAAAGTGAGATACTTAAATTTCAAGGTGTATAAAAATAGAGAACCTTATAAGCTCCTACATTGATCTATAGGATATTTTTCATCGGAATCTTTATCATCTTATACCCAGTGTAAGATCTCGTTAAGATAAACATCTTTTGTGACGAAACGTTCTATTATTCAACTTAAAAATCAAAAGTGTTTGATAATGGTCCGGATTTGGTGTTTTTGGGCTTATTTTTCTTCCATGACTCATATCATATAGTGCTTCTATTGACAAAAGGCGAAGGAGAAAAAATTAATGTTTTACTGTAATTAGTACATCCCATTGTCCTAGAGTATTGATATAAATAAAAAGTATTTTTTGATTTAGTTTTTGCGACTTGAATGTGCGTTGATGTGTATATTGTTGAGAATCTTCAATTCATGTACTATATAATCCTACTCTCACAAATATCAACATCCACATACGAAAAGAAAAATCTTCACAGTTATATCGATACTCTAGGACAATGGAATGTACTACGTAATTACAGTAACATTAATTTTTTCTCGTTTTCTTTTTGTTTGATTTTTAAGTAAAATAATAGCACGTTTCATCACAAAAGATGCTTATCTCAACGAGATCTTACATTCAGTATAAGATGATAAGGATTCCGATGAAAAAAATTCTATACTCCAATGTACGAGCTTATAATGTCCTCTGCTTTTATACATCTTGAAATTTAAATATCTCACTCTACGCATGCTATGGGCATGTTATATTTAAAATTTGTTAGTTTGGCGATGAGAACTTTCATTGTTAATATAGATAATATTTCAGTGCTAATATATGAAGTATATATAATATATTTATAAGCAGGGTCGGATATTCTTAGGAACATTTCAGCTTATGAAAACTTCCATTCTATGTGTTCAAAGCTATCCATTCTGAAAGATTCAGAAAACTTCAGTGGAGTAGTCTGAACAGACCGTATTTCGAAGAATATGTGTGTTTATATGGTTCAACTTAACAATTGGATATCTTTATATTATATATAAAGAAATAGAATAATTTACGGAGATAAAATACATTTTCTTACAATGTTTGTATATGGTCTCATTTTGACTTCATATTTCTCCATAGATAATCGTATGTCTACGTAAACAGTCAAAGCAGGTGGACGGGTAGTGGTTTGACAGTGAGAGTGAAATATAAGTATGAAGATGAAAGTGAAGTGTGGATATGATGATGAAGTAAAAGATGTTGCCATCACCAACAATCTCATCCACTCAGCCTCAACATTATCATTTGTTTGCTGTTAACAATTCTTTTTATTCATTCTCTAATTATGACATGTTTTTATTCTGCTTGACTTACATGAATCGAGTTTCCATGATTGTTTGTTGTGACTTCAGCATAACTTTTATGTCTTCAATCGTTTGATTGATAGTGAATTGATAAAAGTCGAGAAATTTCGAAGTTTATTCATGTTTAATTGGTGTTAGACACAATTGTTAGAATTCTTGGTTGAACCAGATTTTGTAATCATTTTCCTCTTCTTTATTACTTTTGTAAGCTGCTCTTTTTTGTCATTTTTTTATATACACTATTCATTTGACACATAGAGGTTGTCTGTTATGGTTTTATAATGTGATTGACTACGTCTGTGGTTATTGTGCAAGGATTGGCTGCAATTAACACATACAATAATGTTTCGATTTGAATATTTGCTTGAGAATTTGTGTTTAGACATGCATCAACCAAGAATTGTTAGAGGAAGATTTTGAATTCTGAAACTCAATTGGCTTTGTCATCAGTCTGAAATCGATCGTGTCAGAGAGCAATTTGGTGTAAAAGGTTAAATGCGAAGTATGATAAGCGATAACAATGGAAAATAATGACATATCTTCTAAAGCATCGTTTGCATCGTTTATTACATGTGATCTTTCATACTACAACAAAGATTTCTTGCTGAGGAAAATTTCAATCTGGCTTACAAAATGGAAAAGATGACTTCAATCAACAATGCACTTGATAGTACAGCACTAAAATAGGATTCATAGACAAGAAAACCTGGAATAGTTTAAAATGAATCTATTCAACGAGGTTAGTTTCAACTCTAATGTGCTCTAGCATTTTTATTAACGCCAACGTGCTGTTTGAAAAACTTTGAGGTGCACCTTTCAATTTCACATCGTTTAAAGGGCACACATCACGTTGCAGAAATTTCTCATCGCTGTTTAATTTCGTTGATTATGTTTTTTGTTAAAGCCTAGCTTTTATAACACTAATATTACATTTTTATGAATACTGAAAAATGTATCATGAATGCTTCATTCATTAATAATATTTTAGGATACATATACATTTGTTTTATCTTTTGATTCCTGAAGAAAGATTCCTTGGTATTATTTTTCTTTATTATTAAGAATTCGATGATAAAAATTTCACTAGAGAAAAAGCATAATTCTTAGAGACAAGGAAAAGTTCCTGTCCAAGTTTCACTTGATAGGAAGATTTTCCTATTGACCGATATTTCTTAGTATATTTTTTATAAGAGAAGTACTACGCATTCGTTTGAGAAACTCATAAAAGATAGCTTGTTTTATAAATATTGTCATTTCTCAGCTTGAAGGTATAGGTGTGAATGTTTTCTTCAACAACCCACACCCACCCCCTTATGATACATAAAAATGAGAAATTTATTTCGAATATGGAAGAATAAAGCTGGTGTAAAATATGTTAAAAGATCCTTATACTGTGTAGTAAGATAGAGATTGCAAAAAGAGATCGAAAATGAATCTGAGACAATGAAATCAGACTTATCGCTGACCGTTGATATCGAGTGTAAGTCCTACTCAATGCATGATTATGAAATTCTGTCTCCTAGTATTATTTACTAAAACGAAAAAGAAGTGCCAGAATCATCATATATTTTTATGCTGTTTATCAATCGAAAATGATTTTTTTTGGAAATGTTCTTGTCTGTCTAATATTTAAAGAAAATAATCAATTTGACGATTGTCTTTGTCTCAAGGAAAAGCAAGCAGCACCGATTAATTGTGAGTAAATAGTATTGGTTTTCTTTGATATGTATTGATAATTATTATAATATTAACTATTTATTTATTTGTATTTGTCAACATCTAAATGGAGAATCAGGTCAATATAAAAGATTCAGACGGATTAGTGAGAACTGAGATCTTGATGATACATCACAGTTGTAGTTTCCATGCTAGAGATTATCTATTTAGTAGCGTGTTGGTCTCTCAGTACTTAGTATGACGATTGGAAATCAATTGTTGATCAAATACGATTAATTCGTTCGAACAAACTAAAATGAACTTCGGTTATTTCATTTGGATTCTTCTTAGATATATTGTTTTTATACTTCATTGAAAGTTGTGACAGTGGTTGGTTCTGAGCAGGTTTTCAAAATCTGGAAGTTAGTCATATGTTCACAGAGACCTACGAATGTTGTGAAAATTCATAAGGATAAACAATGATGAATAGTCGTCAAGTCAATCGATATGGCTATGGCTTGAAATCTGCTGGATATTGGACTCCTTACAAATCTTTTTGAATAGGTGCCTGCGATTATATAACGATGATTTTAGTCTAGTTAAATCTTAGAATAGTCGAACGATAAAATGCATGATCCCAGCTAGGTCTAGTCTGTTTGAGCTTCTCAGTATGACTTAGCTAGAAGAGCAAGCCAATATGAGAAACATAATTGAACGAGTTCCAACTTTGGTACGCGCAGATTGACCAAGACTATGAGGTTGACCTGGTTCTTAGTTTAGATGCTGACATATTTCTCAATTTACGACGATGGATGTGAATATTTGACTGAATGTTGTGCATCATCGATCGAATAGCACTGTCTTCCAAATTTGCATGGAATTTTTTTACGCTGAGTTTGCGGTGTAGACGATGCTTCAACAGAATTTTTTGTTTCTTTAAAAATAAGAGATCGAATATTTTATTACAGGTGTGAAAATGTAAAGTTTTTAACTAAACTAACCTTTCTTTATTCCCACGTTTTCACCATGAAAATATTTCATACGATGTTCTGAAGTTTTAGTACGACACTGACTCTGATAATGACATGGTACCAAGTAATCAGGTAGACCTGTATGACGATAGCGTGCGCGATGAACAGGATCCGTTCTTTCTTGACAATTTTCATCGTCAGAACATTTTGGTACTTTGTGAAATTCATGAGCTAGATGAGGTTCTTTGGCCTGATTTCGACATAGTTCAGAAAAACGGCAAGGATGAGAATATTTTTCCATATGTGTTTGGTCATTCTGGCGAAGACAGTAAACCGAATCATGACACGGAATCAATGACGATGGTCTGGTTTGTGGCGCAATGCCGTTGGAAACCAACGAACTTGGATTGGTTACATCTGTGCTCCGACAAAAAACTTTATCTATTGCTCGGCCAAACCAAGATGATTTCGGTTTGGTATCAGATAAATGCGATGAATCTGTTTGTTTAGTAAGAACATCTGGCCTATAGCCATGAGCATCTGTATTATTAATCTGAACAACCGGTTTATTATTATGGGCACCTCTATTGGCATTAGAAGCACCATGAGAATCAACAGTAGTGGGAATATGAACACTTCGAACAACAGTTCCATGTGTTTTTTGTAATAAAACAGATGTATCTTTCTTAAAATGTTTATCAAATGATGGATGCAATTCTGATATTCGCTCATGATTAATCGTCAGATTTCGTATGGGAACATCTTGAGTACCGGCACTAATATGAATGTAATCGATTCTCGATAAATCTAGCACTTTTTTGTCAAATTGATATTCAATTTTTTCATGATTGTATATGCTATTCGGACCAGCATGTGAAAGTACCACTTTGCCTGTTTTTCGACTGATTTCCAAACAAAATGTATAAAAATCATCCATTTTACAGCCACGATAAAATGAATTTGATTTAACCTTGAATCGAGCCTTGGGGACATTGGCATCATGCTGATATGGATGGCCATCATTCAAGTACGAATAGGCTTCGTAATAGTCTTCTGACGTAAATGATGGCTCTTTAGCAACATAACAAACAAGACAGTGAAGATTCGGTTGATCTTTACGAGGTTCTATCCTTTCATTTGATATTGTCAACATCATATCTCCATGCATTGCTTGCCAATAAATATAGGTGAAGTCTGCATTATCAGATGGTTTTTTCTCAAGACAATATAAACTATATGACTGTGATATTGTGATCGGTAGTACAATTTGTTCTACGAATTTTGAAGAAGCAACTGTAATCACTGTACCGCGTTGGGTATGTGGTGTTTGAATCTTTTTGTTAATCTTTTGATGAATTTCTCCATGCACAAATTTCTCATAGGTCAAGCGAGCTGCATCTACTGTTGGCTTAGTCGAATTGAGATCAATTATATGTTCAGTAATATAGATTGAGTTACCAAAAATGTTCTTTGCTAACTTCTGAGCTTGAGAATTAAGGGATTCGAATAAATTTTTTGGTATATACACTGCATCAATGTAGTCCAATGGAATAAGTTGTGGTAAGTGACTTTCGAAAACTTCATGTGAATCAACACGCATCCAACGTTCTATCACAGCATTTAGATCAACATCCATCGTGTTCTTATCCAGACCTGTCAAGGCTATGAGCTCTGTGGCGGCTGCATATTCATGGAGTGGGACAGAACAATGTAATTTGGAAGCATGGAAATTTTGAACACTTTTATTAGCATCATTGGGATTTGTTAACCATGGACGATGCTGATAGGCACTGGCACTTGGACCAAAAGAAGTGGCAGCCTGAATTGAAAAATTGGTGTCTGGGTGAAGCATGATTTCTCTTTTGAAGATAATAACTATTTCTCCGTAATAATAACCACAGTGTGGTCCTAAAATGCTGAAAATCTGTTTATCGGTACCTAATGTCTGATCCACATTGTAACCTATGCCCATGGGATTAGAAGTTAATTTGATGGATGCTTCGGCAATACTTTTCGAAACACGACGGAGAGTTCCCATTTCATTTTCCTTAAGAGATAGATTCAATTTTTTTTCAAGCACAGTGATTCGGTACTGGGATTCAGGATCGTGACTTGATCCTGTTGTAGTAGTTGGTGCACCCCCAGATGCCTTATCTCCCGCTTTTTGGAATTCAGCTTCAACAAGTGCTTCAATAAGTTCACATGCGAGTTGTTCCAATGCTGGATTGTCCTGATGAAGAAATATCTGACGCACTTCGCTGTGCTGTTGAACTGCATTGGCAACATTTTTTGGTATCTTGAGTAAACTCATATAGTGTCGACTCATAACATGACCGTGAACAAGTATCGATTCAAATATATCTTTTCTACACCGATGTACAGGTTGCAAAGCTCTTATCCAATCGAGTATTTCTCTGGATGGTTTGGCCTGTTTCCAATTCGATGTTTTGGCAAAATTATTCACTGTACGAATGAGTTGACTTTGATTGTGAACAAAATCTACTGTTGTGTTAAATCCACTAAATTTGGCGACACTCACATGATGGTGATCTCTACTATGTCGAAATTTTTTCAAATGAGAATCATCATGTCTGTCTCGACATTTGAAACCTGGAACCTTACATAGAAAACGAATATCACGAATATTTGGATGAGAAAATGTCTCCAAATGATCTTCTTGGCCGAGTTTTAAACATTTCTCGCGATCCGGACAAAGCTGACGTGCAATATGAATTGATGTCTCTAAATGGTTCTCTGCTGTTATGTAACATTGTTGACCAAAAGAACAAACGTGAGAAAATTTAAGACAATGAACTTCTGCTTCTTGAGATACATGGCCATTGGGTTTTAGTACGTATTCTACATGAAAACGACAATTGTAAGGTGTGAAAGGGCACGGTGTTCGAAACGAATGAATGGCATTTTCAATATGTTCTCTATCATGAAAATTAACACAACAGTTATCAAATGGACAATCTAATTTGCAATGACGACATTTTTTACAATGATCTTTATCGCTTTTTAAGTACTTCATGCACTTGATCGAATCTTTACAGAGTGGTAAATGTCGATAGGCGAGCAAATGATCTGGATGTGTATCAGTACAGTAACCTTCTGCTTTGCAAAGGTCCGGATGATCAAACTCACTTAGATGTGTTGGATCATTATTGTTACATTCACCACCATATTTACACTTCACATTATGAACAAAACAATATAGGTGTGTTTCATCATTCATTTGATCACAAGATAATGTTTTTCCAGAATAGAAGCACATAGATGGGTGTGAACAAGACTCATTATGTTGAGCATTTTTAAGCTCAGCACATTTGGCACCATGATAGCATGGCATACGGTCCAAAATGGCAACACTGCTCAATGTTAGTTGATTATCAGTTGATTTGTTCAGAATAATATTCGGTCCTCTTGCTACATTATTACGAATTGTTTCTGATGGTTGAACAATTAAATTATCGAGAATCTCTTGAAATGGAAGCAAGTTACCATCTGGATTGATTCTATGGCCTGTGTTATGATCATCGACAATGGCAAAACATATCATTTTAAAGAAGCCTGCATATTTTTGGATAACAGCTTTGAAAAGTGAAGCTACATGTTTTGGAGGGTTCTTGAATGCACCACAACCAAGAGCCGATAGAACAAGACAATCATGTTTATGATGATGAGCAATAGCAAAAATATTCTCAATTTTCTTATATGTACCGGCTGCATATTTATTGGCAAGAATAGTATTATTATTTCTTAACTCAGGTTCTCGATAAGCAGCCATAGCGATTGAACAAACATTGTAAAGTGGTTCATCCATATAAGCATAACCCTTGGATTCTGTTTGACGAAATACTGTAATACCAGATGTGTAAATAGCACCGAATTCTTCCATAGGATAGAGTGAAGCATAAGAAGCTACAGGTTTCATTGCACACTTATCTGTACAATAAAATCGTTCGCATCGATTTGAATCTGCAACTTCTGAATCAAGACTTTGGTAATAGTCGGAACGACGAAAAAGATTTTCTTCTTGTGCTCCATCACCTTTTCGATAACCACCACCAGGACTAGTTGCATTAGCCATATTTAATAGTAATGGTCGATATCCTTCTGAAGCTAGTTTCTGATAAATGATGAGACAATCTTCATCGATGACTTTTACAGATGTCGATGGATAAGATAAATTTATTGCTGTAAGTGGAACCTTTTTCTCATTTGATAATTTCGATTTGTGATCATAAAGAATAGTTTTCAAACGTTCAGATTTCAATATGACTTCTTTATTGTTAACTGTATAGCTTTTCTTTTTGACAATGCTTATAGTATTTAACATTACGGTTACTCTCAATAAATGTCTTTTAACATCGAAGTTACCCGAATACTGATCAATATCCGTGGGCTTGTTGAATTGTTGAATCCAATTATCGGCATTCCATTTGTAATGAAATATTGGATGTTGAGGATTCCCAATGAATTCCATTATATTTGGCTTATGATCGAGCATTACTGTTTCATACCAATTTTCAGCATTGATATCACAACTATCTGGATCACTGACAACAGTGTGTGGCGCAATCTTCATCATATTTTCACCTATGCGAAAAGCTCCAATTGACAAACAGTGCTCATATGCTTCTTTATCATCGAACTCAATAATGAGACTATTATTGATATGCTTTTTGTTGACAATGTGTTTGCTAAATAGGGCATGTTTTGTAATATCAGCTATGTTGTAGTCACGAGGTACAGGCGAAACAAGAATGCGATAAGCTAGCCTTACCTTTTTTGATATCATCTGGTCGTCGATCTTTATACAACTATGTTTCACCCATTGGTTTGCTGCTTGTGTAGTTAAGATAGCAGCATTTCCTGTCATCTTGTTGCATTGTACATAAAGTGAAGATGCCGAAAATTTACATAATCCTAATTCATCAGAGATTACTTTCGAAATTTTGTCATCGGTTATATTGGCGGGCAAGTATTCAAGAAAACTGCAATCTGCACGTACATAGATAGTAGCGAATACAGCATCAATACTGAACACCGACACATCAGCTGCTCGGATGAGTTCATCGAGTGTTTTTGGAACAACACGCATTATGTTGGGAAACTCGCCAGATATCGATTCAATTGTTGGCACTTCGTTTGTTTTGCATACTTGCATCCATCGGCGTGCAATTTTTTCAGTAGATGGAATTTCTGAAGTTTTTTTATCAATTACGATATAAGATGTGAGCTCAATGTCATCGACAAACGATATGATTGTGTTTTGTTTCTTGTCGAAAACTGCCGACTCTATATCCGTAATAAGATATTTCTGATCTTCCTCATTTGTTAGTAGAACAACAGCTATTCCGAGTGCCAAGTGGCATTCAACTTTAACGACATGAATACGATTTCTCCGTAGGATATCTTGTAACTTGTGTTCAAGCTCCTGTTGAGGTAAATCCGACGGAAGATCCTGTATGTAAATTAATATCTCTTTTTTCGAAGATGAAGAATGTGAAGAATGCTGATTATTTGGCGGTTGCATGCGAGAATTTCTTTCAGACGATGCCTTCAATTCATCGACACTGGTAGACTTCGGTACTGCTGATGTTGACACAAGATCGACTGGGGATGCAGATCGTTGAGATGCTTGTCGTAGCTGTGTTGATGAATGGCCATCCTGGTCCATTTGTATGGGATGCACTTTTGTATTATGATATAATTTGGAACTCCTAGCAACTGATGATGTATTGTCATCATCATGTTCAATAGATTCATTTGATGTTGCCATACATTCCTCCATCGTGTAAAAGCAAGGATATTCAATATTTTTGCTTTTAGCTGTTTCAAACACTTAATCTTCAAAGTAGAAGAATGTACACAGATATGCTTCTTTTCATGAAGTCAACTGTCATAGGCTTTATTAATGGCAACTGACGAGGACAATGCCCCAAGGGATTCAGAGCTTTTAAACTAATATTTTACCCTTAAGTAGGACCCGATGAGACTAAATAAAGCCCAAAAGTATTAAAGTTCATAGGTCTTTCTTCTTGAGTTGCAACTATTTCACTGGTTGTACTACCTATTATAAGGGATTCACCGAAAAATTCAGTTTACAGAATATCGGTCTGAAATTTTGCTCACGTGCAGATGTTATGCCTTTATAGTAAGTAAAAAGTCTCAGACAAAACGAATGCTTCTTTGGCAAAATATTGAGTTTTCAAGAAAACCCTCTTATGCTACAGACACAAAAAAATCGACGTTTCGTAGTTGCTTAATATTTCGAGAAAGAAGCATTGGTTTTGTCTGAAACTTGTAGGTCACTATAAGAGTGATAAGGTCTGTGCGTGAGCAAAATTTCAGATCCGAATTCTGTAATTCTTTCGGTAAATCCTTGTCATAAGTGGTACATTCGATGAAATAGTCGTAACTCGAGAAGAAAAACCTTTTGACCTTTTTCATTTTAGGCTTCTTCTAGCCTCATCAGGTCGTACTTATGGACAAAATATCAGCTCAAAAAATTTGAATTACTTCGGGCGGTCTGTTCACGAGATTCTATCAAAGTAAAGTTCATCATCAGTATAAATAATATTAGGTAATTATTGCAAAGCTTATCGTGCAGTTTATTCAACGTTGGTATTATGTTTAGTCTACTGAGCTCACAAAAATCAGTTGTTGAAATGAAAAGAAATGTGAGAGAGTGAATAATGATCTCAAAATAAAGCAAAATAATAAATCTATTATATGAATGCAACAAAATGAACTCGCTTGCGAAATGAAACAGGAACGAAAAATAGCTTGGCACACATTTGAAATTCTCTATCAATAGAATACCAAGCATATGAATCAGTTAGTGAACCCACTGGTCCACGAATAGAAACATTGCTTCAAAAACTTGAGGAATACGTAATTCTAGATATAGTAGTGGTCTTCAAAAATTAAGATGAAGAACTATATTCAATATTAAAGTATTGTCTTAAAACATCTTTTTCGATTAACAAGTGCTCGATTATATATGCGAGGATGTTCATCTAGAATTCGTGTAGTCTCTTATCCCAAAGTTTTTATTTTATTAGTTCTAAGTATTACATAAGGAACTATGTCTGAAGACGCTTTTCTTTCTCTGCAATCGCAAATTGCGGCAAAGGAGAACATGTGCATATTCAGACAAGGAAAATAGAAAACTTGCATGTACACAGAAAATAATGTGCGTTTTCTAAGAAATTTTAGTGCATACAAGTCAACTAGTAGTTCAATCATGATCTCGTTTATATTTATTTTGATCATCGCTCTGGAGATTATTCTTTGTCTTCTGTATGAACTTTCTCAGGTTATACTGATCACTCAATTCAATTACTGGCTATCGGCACAGTCATATATCAGTATGCTCATGAGAATTAAGATAGACTATAATGTCTTTCAAGAACATTTGTTTTTAATAAATAGTTCACAGTTTTAAATGATGACTTACACTACCAACTAGTACCCATTTCGAAGTAGAATTCATGTAGTTATTTTTCGAAGAACTCAGGTATACTGGTAGATAGTAAGTTTGGCCTTTTTCATTGGAAAAAGGAGACTCGAATGTCTACATACATCAAATATTCAATTGGGTGACATAATGGTCAAGGAGTCACAGCTCTGTGAGACACATTTCAGATACTTTCTCACGTCCAAGTATTACCACATTTGATCACACAAATAAGTTCCTCGCTTTCTTTTCTCTGTATCAATTCATTCATCAAGTACCAATGATCTTCTCCCATGCTGGCATGGGTGTGAGTGAAAGAAACACGCGCACCCAATCTCCACTCGCAATGACTGAAGGAACTAATGGAACTGAAAAGTGAAATATATGAAAGTTATAGTCGCTTTCGAAGCATAAAAGTAAAACAGGATGAATTTAATTTTTTGTGAACCTCTCGCTGGGTGGCATGGTCTACAAAGTCTCTTGCTGAAACTTTGCTCAATATCGCACAGCAACGATAAATGAACGCATTTTTTATGAATCCAAACTTTGCTCATTCCGTGCTGGACGGTTAAAATTAAGAAATGTCTTCCTACTAATAACGTAGGAAGTGATTTAACGTTGACCTCTCATCAATCGATTGTTTCTCATTGGGTTACCCTCATTGTATTATATTCATGAATACATCCATCAAGGAAGATGCCCAAATTCAGAAAAATATTTTCAATCGGGTTCGAGCAGCTCATCAACACGTGTCGAAAGAAGACGTGTGATAGCTTGGAGTTCTATGAACTGGTTCATTTTCGAGAACTATATCAAGTGATCAGTTCTTTTCATATGAATTATACCTACGGATGATGCTAATGTAGTAATTCTGTTCAGTAAATGTTCGAGTTGTCAAAAAAGAACTGATCACAATATATAGTTCTCAAAACAGAACACGTTCATAGAAATGGAGGCTGTGTTATGTCTATAACTGATCTGCTTGAATAGTTCAGCTCTTTTTAAAAGAACTAGTCACTAGTTCTAGTTCTTTTAAAAATAACTGGATGAGTGATGCTAATTCAGTTTCTCAATCATGAGTTATCACAGATTCAGCCGAAAGCAAATCAAAAATTTTTCCGTTACCATTGGATGAAATCGATCTACCCATAAACGTATTTTAATGTACGATTTTGTTTGGATGATAACATACATGACTTACTGTAAACTCGATAAACAACCTTCTTTGCATTTATCACTGCGTGTTTTGTTTGGCTGTCTGTTGCTTATGTAACGTGCCTCAGGTATGAACACTTCACATCACCTTCACGTTTTACTTTGTTTAAAATAATGTATGTTGGAAATTAAAGAGAGTAAATGAAATTGGAAAAATCCAAGCATGAATTTTTTTTTCTATTTCTATGGATGTCTCAAAAACACTGCCGTGTGTCGAGCAAGCAACGGATTCATTAGAAAAGCGCTCTGATGCATTTCGACATAGACACCGAATGTAAAATGGCTTCATCTTATATTTATTTAAAGGGAAAAAAAGAGAGTGAAATAAAGAAAAAACAGCCGAACTTTAACTCAAATGCGAGCAGCAACCATAACAACTAAAAATTGCAATACGAGAAAAAGAACGAAAGAAATTCCAGGAAACTGATGTGTTGTCTGATAGAGAGCGTGGGTGTCGGTGTGTGGGGAGAGGGATGAGCATGGGTGGGCGATTGCAGACTTCAGTGACTGAATATAAGTGCTAGTCTTGTTCTTGGCAACACCCACACACGTAACCTCGCACATCCAAAGCCACGTCTACAGTCACAAAGTAATGTAAAAGAGAAAAGCTCCAAGGGACACATTTTTGTTGGATATTGTACCTTAAAATGGGGTGCAGATGAGCGCTCTAATGAATGGGGTTGCTCATTTCTTGTCGGGATGGATGGGTTTACGTCAATAGTATATAGCGAAGTGGATGGCTTTTTTCAGTTAATGTGTTTCGACAAGTGCGTGGGTGGATATGTGTCTTTTTTCCATAGAGCAACAGGTAAACCTAGCGGTTCATCTGCTCCATTTTCCTATCAACCAGGGTACACCAACGACTTCCTCCTCATAACAACTCACCGAGGCTGGCTGCTACAGCAAATCACACCCATATCCATATCCACAAAGCACGGAGAAAGAAATGCATCAGTCTCATGATTCCCTAAAGATAAGATTGCCCAAACCTGTTGGTAAGTCGATCAACAGTCCTCACGTGTTCGGGTGATATGCATTAGCTTTCGTACTATCGAAGCTGTTTATTGTGTGAGAGTGTGTGGAGCGGAAAGCGAGATTTAATGTTATTCGAGAGGGGCAATTGCAGATGGTGGGAAAGTGATAAGACTATTTTGAAAAAACTGATAAATTTGAGAATGATAGCCACGATAGTGATCGATAGCATTATTACGAAGAAGCTGGGTCTTCTTCTGGAAAATTTGTATCTGTTGCCACACAAGTTGCCAATAATATTAGCGTCGACCTCATTGCATTCTTGTTGAAACCAGAAGCATCATTTTTAACAATGTACCGAAAGCGAGTGTGCAGTGTATAAGTAATTTTGTGAGGCTTTGATATGGATACGAGTGTGGATGTGATTATAGTTGTGATTGTATCTGTAGGTGTATGAATGAGGAATGTGGATCTGCCTGAAAACAAGACTTCAACCTACACTCGATGTTCATGGTGTATCTGATGGTGTGTTTTGTTTTTTTCAATACAACGTATTAAGTGATTAAAAAATTCAAAAAACAAAGCGCGGTCATTTATTATGCCCCGCCCATTATTAGAATTAACAAATAGAGAATTCATAACAGCAAAGGCTTATAAATCTGCAGGAGAAAAACGATTGAAATCAGTCAGAATCTATGGATTGTCAAAGGTCTACAAATCAATTGATATTGACGATCACACCCCCAATCGGTCCTATTTTCTCTTCATTAAACACTCTCAAATATCATGTGACTAATTTACTAGCAAATAAATTAGATGATCTTCATCTAAGTTCAACTGCCATTAAAGACCCGTTCTCGTTCGTCGAGCGGCTCCATGAATATAAAATTGATCTAAATGAATATAAAATGTTATCATTTGATATTACTTAACTTTTTACAAAAGTTTATCTCAACTAAACAATTGAAATAATTTTAGATGAATTATACAGACAACCATATGCATATATTTTCAGTATGCAGCCAAAGATACCATCTAGTCACTAACGTAAGTAGTGGTATGAAATGGAAATCATAGTAAAGGTGGCCACCCAATAGATTTGTTTCTTGTTTAATGGAAAAATTTACTATATATATTATAGAAATGCAATGGGAAGCTTCCTTAGACTATTATTTGCTGATATATACAAGTAATGCGACTAACCGTCGCTAACCCTCTACTGAAAGAATTCGATGCCGTTAAACATATGATATGAGACCAAGCAGATATGAGAAATGATCTGCTCATATGCACGTGAAAGAACAAAATTAAAGGAATAGTCCATGGCCGAAGCGAAAAGACGTGTCGCACTATCCTCTGTGCCCTCTTTGTATGTTGCATATCCTCAATATTTTTGCAGTATTCTGCACATTCTCAGCATGTTCACTATATCCTTCATGTCTCCACGTACTCTCTGCATTGTCCATAAATCTTTCATATCCTTAATATTCTTAGCATATTATTATGTTCTGCTATAAGCACTAATTTTGCTTCAACAAGTATTTAAATGTTTGAAATTCCGCATCGAGCGACAATAAATAAAGAAAAATCGCCGATTGATGTCAAAAATCAAAACATGTCACCAAACAGATGGATGTCAAGATCAAAGTTTCAAGCACAACAACTTTTACTCTTTTTTCATCGAACGAAAGCAACTTAAAACTCGATAAATTACAGTAGTGTAGTCTTTTTTCTGTCTTTGACCATTTAGCGCACACACACTTCAATGCCCAATCTCTTTCATTCTTTTGTAGAGCATTATCGAATTGTCTGCTGGACATACTGAAGTCGATCAGCACATAGTTTAGCTTTACTATTGGTAAAATGGCAATAGACAGTCTGTTTATATATATACTTGTAGTTTTCTTCATTCATATTTTGAAAATACGGCTTGATTTGTGAAGTAGGAATTTCATTGAAAAAATCTAATTTCTTGAAGCGTCAATTGTTTGTGGTTTGAGAAAGTGAGTAATTCGAGAGCTTCATCTTTGAAAGAACCTACTGTGTTGACAACACATCAACTACTAGTGAAGAGTATTCCCCATCCCTATTCAAATATCAGTCATAACCAGAGCGGTAGCTCTAAAAACCTCAATGTAAATATTTCTCACTGAAAACAGATCAACATCAAAACCCTCCTCGTGATTGCATGAGGTGCAGCCGAGTAACAATGTGCACAATCTGTCTCCAATATGGAATTCATAACTTAGAAATTAAAATATTTTATGAGCCGAGAGTTCTTTTTATAACTTTATACTCTAATTACATATGATGGACCTTTGTTAATGCTCATGGAGCTGTTGTAGAGCTAGGAACATAATTGACTTCCAGCTGGTCAAGAATGCTTTTCTATACTTTTCCATCGCTCTCTCAAAGGTTCAGACATGTACCGCTTCTTAGAGCCAAATAGTCGCATGGTAAATACGGAGATATTACAGTAAACACAGATACTAAAATTTCAAAGCTCTTAATCTCGTATTTTGGACACATAACTGACATGCATGCTAATACATATTTTTGTCAAACGAACGTAAAAATTTCAAACGGTATAACGAGAAAACTGGCATAAAACTCGGTACTACATTTTTAGAATTATTACGAAATTGAGGCGGAGAATGGTCTAGAAAGAGTATTGACGGTGTGGGTATCGCTATGCCAGAACCAGAACGCCCACATCGCACATCCGCACCCACTACTCTTATACACACCAACACATCCATACCCACTACCCGCACCTACACCCGCCACTTGTGGACACTGTTTCAGTCAGTCAGACTCAGTCGCTAGACGCTTTTTCTTTGAATCCAACCGGTCTAAAGAATTTCTTCGCTGAACCTTGCTGATCAGCGGCTAGTCGTTCGTCGGCACCCCTTCTGGGCGCCACTCACGGCTAGCCGCTTCTATGCTTGGGTCTATGTCCCCAAACGGTCGTCCTCTTTCATTTACAATCATGCTAATTCAGATTTGGCTTAACCCAAAAAATCGTTGTATTTATAACTGAAGAATTGTTGAGTGGAAATTTCAAAGAAAAGATTTTGTTCTAAACTATTTTTAATATGTTAAATTTCTTAATCTTTCTGGAAAATCGATCTTGTATCGGAATTCTTCATTAACGAAATTGTGGCAGACTATTATCAAAAAATATGTAAGATTCTATGCAGATCTTTTCTTTCACACATCTGACGTAGACTTGTAATACAAGCGACTAGTCGTTCTTCGGTGCCCCTCCGGGGTGCCACTCACGGCTAGCCGCTGCCATATTTGGCTCTACCTTTCCATTAGATAATCATTTTTCATTGACAATATAGCCGATTCATTCTTTAACTCTTTTCTGGAAACTATACGAATTACAACGAAAGGATTCCAGGTGAGCAGCTAAAAAAATGAATGTTGTGCAAATGTCGATGAATAGAATGTTTTTAGTCGACCTTTATTAGATGTCACCATTGCAATTCAAATTTTCTTTTTTCCGAAACATAATTAACAAAACATCCGATTGGTTGAAACTAGTGTTCCCAAAATCCGATTTGTTACGAGAGAGAGCGATAGAGTATTAAATTCGATGGAAATCAAAAGCTAGACATCTGATTGGATGAGAAACACTAAGATTGAATACCCGATTGACTGGATTCTCAATGTGAAGTACGACTGCGAAGTCGTGAAATCTGTTGTGTTTATCATGCTACTGTTTTCATTCGTCCTCACGACAACTTTATTTTTTATCTAAGATTCTATAACGAACGAACGCTGATAAGTCACTATCTGTATGACCCATCTTTCCGTATACGTGGGGCACTACAAAAGTTTTTTCACTAGCCTTTAGGATAAATATTCAGAGGACGATTTTAATTTATTTTTTCAAAGTACTGTCCTTCAGTATCAATGCATTTATGCATTCGAATAAACCAGTCTTCGAAACAGTTTTTAAAGTCTTCTTTC